ATCTGAGAGGCCCCTGCAGATTATTTCTGGTAAGAAGTTTTAATTTTAATTTTTATTATTTCTTTTTTTATAATTTTAATGTCACTAAAGAACGTGTTGGGATTTTCATATACAATTATTAACTATCAGATATTGTATGTCACTTTTTGTGAGGGAAAAATCATCGGCGGGAGGCGGTGCCGGAGGGAATGTCAGACTCTTACTGACTAAAAATCCCCGTTCCTACTCCTGCTGTGAGCCGAAGCCGCAGTGCCACATCTCCCGCTTGGCTAGCACTGTGTCCCCGCTGCCGCTGCCGCTGCAGCTGCCGCTGCCTTATTTTTATTTTGTATTTTATAGTAATATTTAACGTTGTAAATTTATATATTTTTATTGATTATTACAGACGAATGGCGAGACGCGTTAACTTCAAAAGAATTTATGGAATACTTCGCAGAGATGTATGAAGCCAAGACGGATGAATCGTGCAGACAGTCAGACAAATTCACAGAACAGTATATTGGAATGCCTGGTTCTTTTAGGGCTTTGAGTGTAGATTAGACCTTAATTATATTAATTGTAAAGCTCATTTTCATCTATACTTATAATTGTAAGAATAGGAAAGATTTGATTATATTCAATTTGGTTTCAAAACGCACAATGCAGTTATTCAATAGAAATGTTTATTGCCGATATTATAAGTACATAGTATTGTAGAAATACTGCGTTACTTACAATTGCAACAATTAACTGTGTGTTTTGTCAGTTTCTTTTATTGCCTAAAAAATTATAAAGTGCAACTTTTTGAACCATTTACCCACATTTACCTATTATAAGTTTCTAATTATTATTATTTATGCGTAGGATCGATGTCATGTATAGCAATTTAATTCTTCTAAGGTCTGCATTTTCAACAGTCAGATAAATGTGTTATCTGAAGAATAAAATGATTGCTGTCACTGTCTTATACAAACATTCTGTCGCGACAGCATCATAATTATTCCCCAGGTAACTTTTATCTAACCATTGAAATATCAACCCTAGCCTAGTTAAAATTGCTAATACCTATCTACTAGACATTATTACCTAAAGAAATCGAAAATCATAAGCGTTGTAGGTAGGTATTTCCTTCTAGGTAAATGTATGTATATACAAATTTTCACTAACTATTTTAAATTATACGAAATTTAAATATTATGTTTAATAACAAATAGTATGATTTTCTGAAATGTAGGTTTTCGTAATGATATGCTAAGTAAAATATGTCCGAATAAAAATTTACATTCGTTTTTACTAGGTTTCGAAACCACGACTTTGGAAAAAGGGTGGTATTTTTTTGTTAGGTCTAAATAAAAAAAATATATGTCTGTAAAAAGTTCCGTACAGTTTCTACAGTAAAAATCGACCTGTAAAAATTAATCTGTAATTATGTGTAAATAAGATTAGTTAAATAATTATTTTAAGCAATACCTATGGCTGTTGGATATTTATTATTATTGTAATATAAATAAATAAATTATTTATTTTAATTATACCGCGTATTATTTTATTGCGTCATTTTTTTATATATTTAATAAGCTATTAAAGTTAAGCAAAGTACATTAATATCAGCTTTATAAATTCATATGTAATATTTTTTAACTATGCCATCTGTTACTTTTGTTTGTATATCATAACATAATTGATTTTTTAAAAAGTAGATCTTAAAATTGAATTATTGCCACCTCTGGTAAGTGTGGTGATTAATACTCATTCGTAGAAGAGCCCTTTGCCCAGGATTAGGATGGTTAAAGAAGAAATAAAAGAATGAAAATCATTTATTTTGAAGTAGAAATCATCAAATGACTTCCCTTACTCAGGATGGAGTGAGAGGAAGTGTCAGACTCTTACTGACTAAAAACCATCCACATTCTGTGATCTCGTTCCTTGTCTTGCTCTGAACCGAGGCCACGGTAAATTGCGTTGCCCGCTTGCCCCGCAGCCATACCGTATAAGTGTGGGACAGCCATGCTTCGGCACGAATCAATCGGTTCGACCGGAGTGATACCACGGCCTCACAGAAAATCAGCGTGAAACAACCACAGCGTTGTGTTTCGCCGTGTGAGTGAGGTTACCGGAGGCCCAATCCTTCCCCTACCCTGACCCCTTCCAATCCCTTAATCTCCAAAACCCTAATCCCTAAAAGGTCGGCAACGCACTCGTTACTACTCCGTTGCGTGGGCGGCACTGATTGCTTACCATCAGGTAATCCGTCTGCTCGTTTGCCGACCTATTACATAAAAAAAACTCTGACTAATCATACTTGGCTTGTCTTCAAATACATACTACTTCACAATACTTGAACTACGGATAGTTTGATACATTTGATTACTCGTTACAAGATATGACTCGATACAAGTTACAAGTATCTCTCTGTCAACTCGCTATGACATGTTAGTATATTTCCATCATTACAGACCGACAATTACAATAATCATTATATAATATAATAATATTATAACTCCGCACTTTGATTAAATATAGATATAACGATAATTCTATTCCCATTATTAATTAAATAAAATGTGTCTGTAAACTGCTATGGCAAACAATAGGTTTTGGCAGAAAAAAAAATTGTATTTTTATATTTGCATTAATAAATTAATAATTTTTGTATGTATGTAAATAATACTATAATAATTAAGTTGTGACTTGAAAATGAATACTAGATTAACGATGAGAAAATTAATTGATTGTAGTTGACCTCACATCTAAGTCAGAAAGACAACCGGTTATTGCACAACGTAGTCACGATTCGATTCCCGCATGAAATAATTCATTATCTGATCTACAAATTGTCATGTGTTTTGGATTTGGGTGTCGTGTGATTTTGTTAGTTAGTAGAAAGAAGAAAGAAGAAAGAAAGAAAAAAAAAATTATTAGTAAAATGTGCTTATCACTCAGGATATACATAAATATAACAGTCCTAGTGTGGGACAGGTTCCTTTAAAGACACCGTGATCTTTTTTTAATAATATTATATTTACAATCTATACTTCTATACTAATATTATAAGGAGGTAAAATTTGTAAGTTTGTATGTAGGGGGTAATCTTTGGAACCGCTGGTCGGATTGCCAAAATTCTTTCACTGATAGATAAAAACAATGTTCCTGAGTGCTATAGGCTTTAAAACATCACGCTACGATTAAATGGAGTCGAGCAGCGGGTGATAGCAGTTAGTATTATCTATTTATGTTTATCAAAGTAAGGATTCTTGATTATTTGAGAGGGATGTCGTAGTGTCGTGTTGACTTTTTCCCGTTCTAAGGTGGGAGAGAAGGGGAGTGTCAGACTTGACTTTTACTGAAAAACCGCTCCATAACTTCATTTGCTCCGTGCTCCGTGACAAGCCGTGTCGGTACCTCCTAGCGCTGTCGGTACCTCATAGAACTTCCACCATCTCGCATCACCCCGACCGAAAGATCTGGCTTATCTATGCCATATTTTCACGCACATAAAACATTTTTTGTGGAGGGAAATCATTGAATGATTTCTCCCGTTCTTGGTTTGGTGGAGAGAGAGGGTCAGACTCTTACTTTTTTTTTTTAAAAGAAACTTTGCCCCACTTTTGGATTTTCTCCTGTGTTGTGGGTGCATTTACAAACATACAATGTCACATACACATCACACCCAAACCCGAAACAACAATTTGTGGATCTCACAAAGTGTTGTTCCGTGCGGGAATCGAACCCGCGACACGTTGCACGGCAGCCAGCTGCCCAGCCACCGCGCCAACCGTGCCGTCAAAGTACTGAAAATGAACTACTCCTTTCTTCTCCTTAATTATACTATTGTTCTTGCAACCACGACCCTGGCTAAACCTCGACCATATTGCGTCCCAATTTTAGTATCCCCATCTGTGTTGGTCAATTGGTTCTATGCGCAATTTATAAGAAAACATCTTTACTAACAAGAAAATAGATTTGCTTGTTTGTTTGATTTTTTATTTACCTTCTCGAAATCTACGTAACCTATACTCGAATTGTTTCGCCATTGAAAACGTTAATTTTGAAGAAGTAATCTAAGAGAATCATAATTGAATATTTTTATGTTATAAATTACTTTTTATAAAGTTATCATTATGCATCTTTCGATATATACATAACGGCGTATAAGTGAAGTTTACTCAAGTAGTGGAGAATTTGTTTATTTATGTTTTAGTTTTACCTCATTGTATTTTTTCATATTGCGTATGGCGACAATTAAGAGCGGGTAACACCGAATGGGTTTGTGTCAGGTGTCTTACGGGCAAGTGATGAGGAATTAGACAGAGTTGTTGATGGGTTGCCGTAGAAACCAACGCTACTCCATTTGCTCTTGTAATATAAAAAATAATATTATTTTAGCTTCATACTTAACGTTATTTAATTTAATACACGGATTTCCAATTTTATCGGTTCACTTTATTATTTACCAAATTTCTTTTGCAATACCTACCATGAATACCAGCGAACTACCTGGAGAACAAGGAAATACAGCCCAGCCTCCCGATTCTCCGACATCCATATACAAGCTTCCGCCACGCGATTTCACCCGCTGCTTGGCTCCATTTGATCGTAGCGTGATGTTTTACAGCCTATATCCCTCAGGAACATTTTAGCTACCTATCAGTGAAAGAATTTTGGCAATCAGACCAGCGGTTTCAAAGATTACCCCCAACATACAATCTAACAATTATTACCTCTTTATACTATTAGTTCTATACTAATAAATACAGGCAGAATTGAAAAACAGTTCAGTAAGTAAATAAATTACGTAAGTATAAATAGCTACAGTTTACAAACGTATGATTAAAAAAAATGACAAGCAAAGTTTATAAAAGACACAGCGAAGTTATAAAACCAGTCTAGTTCCAATCACTTACGGGCACAGTCAAAAATACATATAATAAAGAAAACCAGTTTTAGGTAAAGGAAATATATAATATTTCCTTAAAGAAAAACTATTAAGTAAATATTTATTTTTAAATAAACAATCGACTATGGAATCCATTGAAAATCCTCTACTGAATATCACTCCGGAAATCGTCCAAAATATAAGGAAAATATACAATCTCGATGAGCCTAAACGAATGCAGGAAGCTATCAATATTCTAGAAGAATGGATCCAAAAGCAGCCACATATCGTCAAGAAGGATTTTAGTGAGTTCTTTTAAGTAACCTAGTTTTAATTCTTAGATAGTTCGTCAAACGGTTAGACCTGGCCACCTTATACACCTATATCCAATTTCTCCAATCCCCAATACAAAATCTTTAGCCTTCAAAGGACCTTTAAGACACTTAGGTAGACTTAGATCCTCTGGTGAAACCAATGTTCATGGGTGGCGCCGTGTGTTTATTGAACTAAACTGATCCATTTGCTACCCCATATCTTTAAAATATCCGGGGTTGTGGGATAAGCGCAATAAGCCCAGAGCAGGAGAAGGAACAGGAGGTTTTTAGTCAGTAAGAGTCTGACACTCCAGTCGGGAAAAGTCATTTGATAATTTTCCCCTCACAAAAAATATCTTTAAAATATAATCATCCCTAGTAGTGTATGGTATCCTCCAGTCTACCAATATTTAATTGCGTTTCGCCGTGTGAGTGAGGTTACTGGAGGCCCAATCCTTCCCCACCCCCAATCCCTCCTGAATCCCTAAATCTCCAATTTCCTAATCCCTAAAAGGTCGGCAACGCACGTTTGCCGATCTATTATTACATAAAAAAAAATTACCACAGAATAAGAAGGAGAATTTAAGTATCCTATGAACATGGTACTTGGGACGTTAGAGTATGGGAAAACCAGGCTTCGGCATGAATAGGCCATCACGACTAAAGTGATACCACGGCCTCATAACAAACCAGCGTGAAACAATGTTTATGTTATGTTTTACCATGTCTCTGATATTACCGAATTTCCAATCCTTTAATCCTCAAATCCCTAATCCCCTAGCCCTAGAAGGTCAGCTATACATGTGCAACTCCTCTAGCGTTTTCATTCTAAGTAACGAGGTCTAATAGCCGATTGAAAAATAAACAATTAAGCCAATGGTATTATTAGTTACATGTGCAGTGTCTATAAACGATAATTATCTCCGACCTTCATTCAATAATTGAATAATTAAACCATAAAATGTAATTTTTTTATTCCTTAACTCGTAAAGACAATAGGTTTTCTATCTTTATCCAACAATCTTATTGTCTCTGTTATACAATTTTAATTTTATTTGTTATTCAAGTCAAAATATTACCTACCTACTTAAGTAATTATTGTGTCGTTTTGCTCAAATATCGAAAACAGCTGGACAGTTCTTGACTAAATTAGTTTTATTAACATCAACGTGTATCCATGTTAATGCTTACCTTTACTTACTTATTATTATTTTTTTTTTGTTAGTGTAAAATCATCAAAATCATCCCTCCCAGGGCCGGGTGTGACGAAGTGTCAGACTGTTACTGACTAAAAACCCCCCTGTTCCTTCTCCTGCTCTAGGCCGAGGTCGTGGTGCCTCATTGCGCTTACCCCGCAACTCCAACCGTACTGAATACTTATTTAAATTTAGGATCTTTTTCTAATTGCATGCTATGTCTCTTAATAGCGAAATAAGCTGAACTATACATGACATACTTGTGTAAATCGTTTTTATAACAGATTTTAAGGCAAATAGTTAGGTAGCGTCCCTACACATTATGATGACGCAAGTAAAAAGTTTTTGACCATCCTATCCTATAACTACCAGTATTCTTACTATGATATTAAAATGTGAGAGTTTGAGAGAATGTGTGGATGTATGTTTATAAAAACGACTGGACCGATTTGGTTTAAATTTGTAACCCCCTAGGCTTATTTATCAACGTACCACGAGAGTAACGCCGGGCGGAAATTAAAGTCATGTATTAAAAATATGAAATAAAAACACTTTTGTCTTAAACTTGTTCCTGTGAAGGTTTATTGTATGAATAGGCAATAAACCAGATTCATTATGCCTATAGCAAGGTCAAAACATTTTTTTTTTTTGACGAAACATGTAAAAGAGACACTTTTTTTTATTAAGATAGGTGGTAAACACAATTCTCTACTCATTCGAATTTTAAAACTCTTTATTTTCTTATTTTATTAAGGGCAGATTTTTCAATAATCAGATAAATGTTATCTAAGCCATGCTTCCGCACGAATGGGTCGGCTCGACTGGAGTTATACCACGGCCTAACAGAAATCCGGCGTGAAACAACCACAGAGTTGTGTTTTACCGTGTAAGTGAGGTTACCAAATGCCCAATCCTTCTCCTCCCTCAATCCCTCCTCAATCCCAAAATCTCTATATCCCTGATTTCCAGTTCGGTAACGTGCTTTTATAGATATCCTCCTTATTACGGGTGTCCACGGGCGACGCTGATTGCTTACCATGACGTAATGGGTCTACTGGTTTGCCTAAATATACATAAATTTTTTTGCTTTTTTTTTAAAAAAAGGTTCCCACATTAAGATTTTCTCTTGTGTCGTGGGTGCGGTTAGAAACACACAATTTCACATACACATGACACCCAGACCCGGAACAAGAATTTGTGGATCACACAAAGAGTTGTTCCATGCGGGAATCGAACCCGCGACACGTTGCACGGCAGTTAGTTGCCCAGCCACCGCACCAACCGTGCATTCAAAAACTTTATTATAAATATAGGATTATAAAATACAAAAATAATAATTATAGGATATTTTGTATAATTTCAGGTAAGCGGTATTTAGAGGGGTCTATCATATCAAGCAAAGGCTCAGTGGAAAAGGCGAAGAGACAAATAGACCGTTTGTGCACAATGAAAACTTTAATACCAAAACTATTTTCAAAATACAATTTGAAAACAGAACTGCAGCGAGTTTTAGAGAAATCGTAAGTATGGAAAAATATTGTCAACTTAGATAAGTTGGCAGATGCCACAGCTGGGGTTGCGGACGGTTGGAACTGAAGATGCGATGTGGTTTTTAGTCAGTAAGAGTCTCAGTAGTGCTAATTTATACTTCGTAAAGCATCCTTTTTGTGTCACAGGCATCACCTATGATGATAGTAAGTAGTCGTAAAACTATAGTTTCAAATGCATAAGGACATTCTTAGAAATTGAGGTTTTTAAGTGGGAATTGGGAGAAGATTGGACTTCCAATAATCTCTTTCACGCGACGAAACAAAGGTTGGCAAAGGCAGGTCCTATAGGAAGGAGGTTGGTAATTTCTGATCGGGCCAGCCCATTCACGTCAAAGCATTGCTCTCCTACACTTATTACAACTCATTAGTGGGACCTTTCAGCCAGGGTTGCGCGTGCAAGTGCTATAATGTTCTGAGGCCCTGCCAAAGAGCAGGAGAAGGCACGGGGTAGTTTTTAGTCAGTACGAAACTGACTCTCCGTATCGCCCCACCACCCACCCATTTTATTTCCTTAAATAAGCTGTTTATAAATTGATTGAAATTATTTTAAAACCTTTTTTCCGTAGGTACGTTAATAAACTTTAATATTATTTTTCTTTCAGGTGGTACATCCCTCTTCCAAGACTGACAGAAGACTATTACAGAATAATAATAGTAAAGGGATTCAATAACGATTATACACCTGAAGAAATCCTTCAGTATTTTCAAGCCACTGTAATTGTAAGTAAAACAATACATAATAGGACACACGAAATTAAGTAAATTTATATACGAAATTGCGACGAGCCATGCTTCGGCACGAACGGGGCCGGCTCGGCCGGAGTGATACCACGGCCTTACAGAAAACCGACGTGAAACAATTACAGCGTTGTGTTTCGCCGTGTGAGTGAGGTTACCGGAGGCCCAATCTTTCCCCTCCCCCGATCCTTTCCCAATCCCTTAATCGCCAAAATCAAGTCACTAAAAGGTTGGCAATGCACTCGTAACTCCTCCGTTGCGGATGTCCATGGGCGGCGCTGATTACTTGCCATCAGGTAATCCGTCTGCCTACATTTACATAAAAAAAAATACGAATGTGCAACAGAGCCATGCTTCGGCACGAATAGATCGACTGGACCGGAGTTATATCACGGCTCCGCAAAAAAGACAAGCGTGAAACAACCACAGGGATGTTTATTAATGGAACACAGTTATACGAAAATTTGTGTTTATGTGGTGTCCAATAATAATATTTTAGAGTAAAGATCCCTAAGATCGGACAAGAAGGGTCCTCCGATTAGCGCTTCGTGATACTAAAAACTTTTAAGAATCTTTAGGAATGTGAGGGTTAAGTTCCCTAAAATCGAAAAATGGAGGATTCTTTGACCAGGAGAGGTATTAGCCCTACTGCTCAATAGTTTGTACGTTCAGATTTTCTGTGCCTGTTTCATTGCGCGATTAATAATTTTGATTCTTGGCAATTATCACGACATCTATTTCTTATTCTTGTCCTGTGTCGTGGATTTTCTCCTACGTTGTTTACAAACATTCCTATATTTTCACATGCACATCACACCCAGACTCAAACAACAATTTGTGGATACAAAGAGTTGGAGAGAGAGGAATCGAACTCGCGTAATGTTGCACAGGCAGCCATAGTTGCTCAGTCCCGGCACGAACCGTGCAGTCGACAGATGAACCCTAATAATAAGTTTATTTTTTCAGTTAACTGAATATCTTCGAGCTCACGAATATGCAAATGGTTTCACAATTGTAGTTGACTATCGTGGTTTAAACATTCTCCAACTAGCTACAAGAATGAGCACAGCTGATGTCCAGCAGTTTATCAATGTTTTAATTGTATGTATTTTTTTTCTTATTTTTATATAATTTTTTCCTCATTCGTCCACAAAGTCATCATTTCAAGTTAGTAAAATAAAAAAATAATAATAATCATAGTAACGTAATTAACTACCCTGATCCTGACCAGAGCTGCAGTAGATTACTCCTTACCACCAGCTGTAGTTTTCAAATATTTTTTCACATTTTTCAGGAAGGCTACGGTGCAAGATTGAAAAATGTACACATAATTACTGAATCAAAGGCTGTAGAATTACTCGTGTCAACTGTTAAGCAGTTTATAAGTGAGAAGATTGGTAAAAAACTTCAAGTTGTGAGGACTGTAGAAGAATTAAACAAATCAATACCTAAAGATCTCCTGCCAGAAGAATATGGAGGGAAAGAAAAGTCTTATCGAAAAATTCATGGTAAGAATAATAAAAATATTGTAACTGAACTCGATAAGTATTGCAGGTTTTATATGAATAAAAGATTTGGATCTTGGATACTTTAAAATCACAGTACACAGTCGGGCATCTCACTGCAACAGAGTTACATTGTCAATGACCTATGTATGCTCTCTCGGCCACCTTATTCATAGTAAAGAATGACACTGACATTGACAGTTCTAGTGTGACAATGATTAGTATGACTAATTAGTAATGATACAACAGTAGGAAGCCCCTGGATGGAGGTAACTTTCGACAGGCTGATCTGAAAGTAATTTTACAGTAGGAGGTCTTGATGATGGTGATGATAGTGGTGATGATAATAGTGATGATTACAAAACCCAAGGCAGAGTAAAATTTACATATTTGTCACACATACAAATACCGTGAATCACGAAAGAACTAGCTAAAGAAACTTTTGACAGAGATCCTTATTAATTGCGATCTCCAACTAGCCTGTTAGATATAATACTGATTATAGAAACTCTTTATATAAACGAAATAATGTACTTTAATTTTGCTTTCAGCTGAATGGGTAGATGAATTGTCTTCAGAGAAACATATAGACTATTTGAAGATGATATACAAAGCTTGCACGGACGAGTCGAAACGGCCAATAGAGAAATTCAACGAAGAATACATGGGGATGCCTGGATCCTTCAGAAATTTAACTGTTGACTAATACTATTGTAGGCCCCTTTTTCGTTTATGTGATTTTATTAATTAATTTAGGTGACCAGAAAAGTACTTGACTGGAGACAGACTTTCCGTGGGCAGACCTCCTGCTAGGTGGACCGACAATGGTTGTGTGAGCCTAAAACTATTATAAAGGCAATGTCCATTCTCACCAGACACTGCTATCATACCTTTACTTTTCAGTGTAACTGATTTGTCTATACTAATTTTATTAAGAGGTAAAATTTGTAAGTTTGTATGTAGGGGGTAACCTTAGGAACCGCTGGTCGGATTGCCAAAATTCTTTCACTGATAGATAGCTACAATGTTCCTGAGTGATATGGGCTATAAAAATCATGCTACGATCAAATGGAGCCGAGCAGCAGGTGAAACCGAGGGACAGTCGCTAGTTAATTATATAGCTGCCATTATGAGCAATGGCATTCCATTTTGAACCCTGGTCTAGAGCTTTTTTAGAGCTAGATTACCTTCAATCATAACTAGATACAAGTACCTGTTGCACCCATTTTGAATTTTAATTTATAAGGGTCTGAATTCCTCTCAAATTTTTTATTTGGATCTGCAAAGCGTCCTTGAGACTTAACATTTGGCGACCGTGAGGGAACGTGGCCATTGATGAAAGGAACCCTAGCTTTGACAGCAGTGGCTGACCATCACGATAAAATAATGATAATTCTTATCCCGTGTGGAAGTGTTTAAGTGTAGAATTGTTTTTTTTTATATTTTGTACTGGTTAGAATGAAATAAAATTATGTTTGTCAATCTACATTTATGTAGTAAGAAAAAGAAATGGTCCAAAAATTTATTTTAATCTCCAATACCAAAATTCCTTACATCCTCAATTTTACCTTATCAAACACGAATTACTCAAATTGCAAAAAAAAAACTATTTAACTTTACAATAATTTTTCGTTTATGTAGGCAAAACCAAAAACACCAATATGTTTTTTTATGCCATCGTCGGCAAAGAGCCAACGGATTACCTGATGGTAAGCAGTTTAGTGCCACCCTGGTGTTGCGGGTAAACATTTACCCGCAACTCTGAGTTCTTAAAAAATAAAAAAGATACAATGCAGGTTCCGTAGTATTCTTTTCGCACTCGGACTTAATCCAGGTCATGGTTCAGAGCAAGACGAACTGGGAAGCAGACTCCTCTTTCGGCGAAGCAGTGATACGTTCAAGGAAGGAGTTGGAGTGCGTAATAGAACTTTTTTCTTCACACCTTATCCGCCGCAGTAGGATACACTCCGGGCTTTAGGAATCGCTTGACGTTTTCCGGTCACAGTAAGCGCGGGTCTGCGGACTCGTTTGAATTCGTTGTTGAAACATTCTTTTGTGTTTAATAGACTGTACGGTTTGGGACCTTACACCTTGACTGGATGCTAATTGATACACTGATAACTTTAATTGATATTAATTGATAATAGTATAATTGTATGATAGATGAGTGCACACTGAATGATTGCTATTTATGTACTAAATTCCACGTCCTAGCGCAGGTAAAATGCTGATTTGATTTGATGCATGAAATTGACACAGATATGAAAACTGTGCTGTGCTTGCACTGTACATAGACCATTTATTGAGAAAGACTTTAAGCTATAAAAATTTACCGAGAAAGTAGCTACTGTAATTATAGAAGGAAAGGGATGGTGCTTGGACAGCTCTGATACTGAGACTTTTCCCTGGGTGTGACAACTAGCTCCTCAACAAGGGATCCTAGCATAACTGGTAAGATATTATGTAATAAAAAAAACTACAGCTGTACCGTGTGAATCCAATACACTGTATCTGGAGTTACAGTGTTTTGAATTAACAACGTCCATTCGATTTCTTTTTGTCTGTTACATGATCCTACATTCATAGATTTTCGTCTTTATTCACAAAAATCTGAGATATCGTCATGCAAAAAACACTGTATTTAACTTAGACTAGAACCCTAAAATTGCAAAACACGGTAACCAAAGATGCAATGTGTTGGCAAAATAATTCTCGCGCGTTTTAAGATACAGTGTTTTGTTAAAAATGTCGTGCGACGCGAGCACGCCAATCAGAGCGCGGCTGACCGACAATCTCGATCATTATTGGTCGATTTAAGTTCTCAGTTCAAAGGAGGCACGTGCCATCGTTTACGTATTTTTAAATGTAGTCGAATGACTATAAAGGTGAATTTAAGGCAGGATCGCTGCCCAAGTTTCTAACGACAGGAGTAACCCACCTGCTCCATAAATCAGGTAGTACTGCGGAACCCAAAAATTATAGACCGATCACGTGTCTGCCGGTCTATAAAGTTCTTACATCCATACTGAGAAGTAAAATTAATAGTCATATTGACAAAAATAAAATCATGTCAACTGCTCAGAATGGATGTAAGAACGGATCCCGCGGTACTAAGGAGCTACTCCTCATTGATATGACCATCAGCCAACAGGTTCGACGTGCCCGTAAGGATCGTCGACATGTTGGATAGACTATAAGAAGGCCTATGACTCTATTCCTCATACATGGCTCATGACGGTGTTGGAATTGTATAAAATTGTTACAATACTACGCTCCTTTCTGATGTCCTGTATGAGGCAATGGAGTACGGTCCTTCGCTATCCGGGATGTCGACATACCCAAAGGAATTGCGAACCTGTAAGGATCGAGCGTGGTATATTCCAGAGTGATAGTTTGAGTCCGCTTTGGTTCTGCCTAGCCTTGAATCCCCTAAGCACACTCCTAGAGAATTCAGGCCTAGGCTACCGGTTGAAGAGAGGTGGTCAGGTTATATCTCACCTCCTTTACATGGATGACTTGAAGCTTTTTGCCCCCAACAAACTGCAACTGACGGAGCTACTCAAGCTAACGGAAACCTTCAGTAGTGCCATCAGGATGGAGTTCGGTGTGAACAAATGTGCGATCATGCATGTAAAACGAGGGGAGGTTGTGGAATTTGTGGGAACTCAACTCACGGATTCCATAAACCCGAGGTCTCTCTCTCCAACAGAAACCTATAAGTATTTGGGTATGTCGGAAGCTTTAGGCATCAATGTCACTGACATGAAGCAATCGCTGAAGGAGCGTTTCTTTGGCCGCCTGAAGAAGGTATTTAATAGCTTTCTTTCAGGTGGAAACAAAGTGCGCGCCTTCAACGGTTGGGTCATGCCGGTATTGATGTACTCTTTCGGCGTACTCAAATGGTCTCAAACTGAACTGGACGCCCTGGATAGGCAGGTCCGACCAATGCTGACTGTCGTCGGTGATAAGACTGTATATCCCGCGGAAGTGTAGGGGTTGAGGCTTTTTAAATGCCAAAACCCTACACAACCGCGAGGTATGTAGTCTCAGGGAATATTTCCTAGCTGCCGACGTGGATATGCATCGAGATGTAGTGGCAGTGGACAAAGGTCTAACCCCGGTCTAAACCCGTCGTACTTGACACTAACGCTCGCAGGGAATTATGGCAGAGCAAGGAGCTTCATGGACGCTTTTTCCGAGCCCACCATGGACCGGATGTAGTGGCGTCCGTAGCCTGGCTGCGTTTCGGAGACCTCTTTGGGTAAACCGAAGGGTTTGTCTGTGCAATTATGGACGAAGTTATCATGACGAATAACTACCGGAGATTTATTGTGAAGGACGGCACGGCTGACATCTGTCGGGCATGTCACCGTCCGGGATCCGCGATCTCTGGTTGTTCTCGTCTAGCTAACGGCGAGTACTTGCATAGGCACAACCTTGTAGCTAGGATCATCCATCAGCAGCTTGCTCTGAAGTACTCGCTTGTGGGATCGGAAGTGCCGTACTACAGGTATGAGCCCGACCCAGTTCTTGAAAATGGTCATATCACTTGGTAACATGAAAACTTACAATAAAAAAAAATAAGTTGACTGAACTGTCAAATCACATAATACATTTATTTCTTGGTCACCCAACAAAACGAACCAAACTTTCAGAGATACATTTTTTGAACCAGTCAAAAAAACACTGATTTAACAGTGCAATACACTGTAACTCTAATATACAGTGTATTACCATAACAATCTCTTCATTCGCTTCTGCTGACTGTTGTGGCAATACAAGTTATCTATGGTAAATCAATATACTAACGATAAAATGTATTTTAATTTGGGGGGCTGAAAACCTTATAAAATTACCTTTTTATTGATACCAAACACTTAAATATATCTTAATAAACATAATCGTAATCCTCTGAAAACACAAAAAAGTGTTTTTGCTCGTTTTCTCAAAATCTGTTTTTCGCAGTTACAGTGTATTGGATTCACACGGTACAGCTGTTCTTAAAACAAATCCGAAATGTGAAAGTAACTCTGTCTGTCTGTCTGACTGTCTTTTCATCACGCCTAAACTACTGAAGCGATTTTTGTGAAATTTGGTACAGACATAGTTTGGAACTCGAGAAAGAACATAGGATAGTTTTTATACCAAAAATCTTCAGCCAGTCACTGTTCCACGCGAACGGAGTCGCGAGCAAAAGCTAGTAGTGTATATATTCATAGACATGTTACGCTATTCTGTGAACGCTAATGGGTTTAAAATGGTTGATATAGGTATCAGTAAATAATGTTACACAGAGTGGATTTCTCTGTCCTTATATTCCTGTGTATGCTTCAATATTTAAAACTACGCAACGGATTTGGATGCAATTCTTTTTAATAGATAGAGTGATTGAAGGGAAAAACACATCCATTGAATAATTTTCAATTAACTATCACCTTTACACCTGTACAAAATATTGTGCAATAAAAAAATATTAAAAAAACAGCATGATTTATCTTTACAAGAAACACTATTTAAATTATATTTTTCGTCCATCCGTCTATGGCTTTAAAATTCCTTCGAAGGTAGACGACATTAATTTCAAGGTTTTAATATTTTTTTTTTTATTACAATCAGGTTTTTATTATGCTACGTCTTTGAATGCAAAGTAATGCAAGATTTTCTACGTCAAAAGAATAAATAAAAATCTCTCTTTTTAAAAGATAAAAATAGTTTTTTTTATCATTACTAAAAAGGTTACAGTGTAAGAATATAAATAAATAGCTTCAGTCCACCCTGTTATCTATACTAATATTATAAAGAGGTAAAATTTTTAAGTTTGTATGTAGGGGGTTATCTTTAGAACCGCTGGTCGGATTGCCAAAATACTTTCACTGACAGATAGCTACAATGTTCCTGAGTGCTATAGGCTATAAAACATCACGCTACGGAGCCGAGCAGCGGGTGAAACTGCAAGAGAGTAGCTAGTAAAAAATATAAGGATGAACTGAGGCTTACACTAAGTTTCGTTGTGAGAGGCAAAAATCATCAAAATAAATGACTTATTCGTCATGGGTCGGAGTTTTTTTGTGTGGGTAAAAACCCCAAATTACTTATCCCGCCCAGGCCAGTCGGGAGCCAAGGAGGCCAAAAGGAAACGTTAGACTCTTACGGACTCAAAACCTCCGCTCCATCTCCTGTGGGGTAAGAGAGAGTGTCAGACTCTTACGGCCTTATTACAAAACAAGGTTTTCATTAGTCTAGGTCTAAACCATTGAGACATTTTTTGTATTTCAAATTGAAGGTAGATGAGAATAAGACTCAAAATAAAAAACTAGACTAGACTAAAGATAAATCTTGTTTTATAATAAGGGGGTCTCTGTCTAAAAACCATCCACTTTCTGTGATGATATAATAGCGCTGAACGCGATGCGCCATATGCTTGTGTCTAGTTCTGATCAGTTCGCAGACCCGAGCGATATTGCTTTATGTCTTTAGTAGGACAAAAAATTAAAAAAAAAAATGTTGGCTTACCAATTTTTTTTTTATTTTTAGTAAATTCTTTGTAATGAAAATGGCCATTACATTATTTATCGAACTATAAAAGTTCAATTGAATTTCCAAAAAGGCATATAATAATACGCTTCATCTTCTAAATCACTTCCTTAATAAAAGTATATTATAGTTATGCAGGCAAGTTATGCATAGTTTGCAAAACAATCCATGTTCATCAATTTGCAAGCGCACCTGCTAATTTAGACCTTATCGGTCTTATTACAAATAAAATTTTTTACGTTAGTCTATAGGTCTATAGCATTGAGCCAGTTTTTGTATTTAAAATTAAAGGTTATTTTATTTTTGTAAGGGGAAAAGAGAGAGAGTCAGACTCTTACTGACTAAAAACTCACCCGGTCTTTCTCCTGCTCCAGGCCGAGGCCGCCGAATTGCGCTTGCCCCGCAACCCCAGCTAATTTCGAAGTTAGGTAGTTCAGATTTAAAATACAAATTCTGAATCAGTGGTTTATACCTAGACTAAAGATACATCTTGTTTTGTTATAGGGGTGTATTTGTTTCACACCCGAATTGATTTCGAAGCCATATTGGCATTTTTAGTTTTCAACAACACTACTGATTAAAAGAATGAAGACTTGAATGCCTGCCGAGTATGGCAATGATGTTGGAGAAGGCTGATGATGACGATGATGATGGCAACGATAAGACAGAACATCAGAACTAAGTGTGGGAGAGCCAAGCTTCGGCACGAATGGAATGGATACCACGGCCTCACAGAAATCCGGCGTCAAACAACCACAGAGTTGTATTTCGCCGTGTGATTGAGGTTACTGGAGGCCCAATCCCTCCCCCTCTCTTATCCATTCCCAAACCTTACATATCTGAAACTCATATGGTGTTCATGGGCGGCGCTGATTGCTTACCATCAGGAAACGCATCCGATCGTTTGCCGACCATAAAAAAAAATAAAAAGCAGTTTTTTGAGGAAGACATTACCCTTTAAAATGCACCATAAAATGAAAGAAAAACCATGACACAATCACACAACAAATCACGCATACCTACACTATTAATAATAAGGATATTTACAAAAATAAAAAAAAAACTAAATTACTACAACAAGTTTTTAATTTCATGAATGTGACGAATCTCGAACACTGAGCGACCTCTACTTTTGATACATGACTAGAAACATAAATAGAAGGTTATAAATATAAGTCTACCGGCCATTTTTTAATAGTTGTCAAACAGATTCCGTATCAAAGAGGTTAGGATGAAAAAAAAACAAATAATAATAATAACATAGGACGTTCTAGAATTTCTATTTTCAAATTTGGATTTGCGGGTATAGAACGTGTTTATAATAGTGTTAAATTTTGAATCAGTTTAATTTTTAATATGGCGGATTTGGGATCGAGCCTTGTGTTGCAAAGGCCTGCGGGCGCCATTGAAGCGATCAGAAAAATCCATAATTTGGACAAACCCGGAAGAATAGAAGAAGCCCTCAATATATTGCACGATTGGATTCAAAAACAGCATCACTTAACTAAAAAGGATTTTAGTGAGTATTTAAATACATACATCATATAATATATTATAATTGTTTTTAGTTTTTTTTTGTTGAAGCGTTCTCTTTTCAAATAGTATTTTAGATTTGGTGATCATTCTATGTGTTTTGTTTTTACTTTGAGAATAGATTTTTAGAATTGTTCTCTTTTAAAAATATTGTTTATATTATTTATACCATAGAGGTTGTAGACGACCCTGATTAAAAAACATGACTTCTCTTACCCAGGGTAAGGCGAGAGGGAGTGTCAGACTCTTACTAATTAAAAACTCCCCGTTGAATTTCTAGCTCTAGGCCTAGATCCCCCTCAAATAGCTTACTCAAACCTTTTGATATAGGATACTTCATACACCGAAATTCACAACTGCTCATTGAGATTCGACTATCATCTGTGACCAAAGAGCGTGTTTGTTCATTATCTCAAGTTAAGGGTACCCCAAGCTTAGCTCTAGGTCAAGGCCCAGTAACACTAGATGTGCCAAACATGTGTTCAGCCCAGTAGAAACGTTTTTATTAGTGTCTTGTCTGTTCAATATAGGCCTCTCAATTGTTACAAAATTAAGCTTTATACACTACTAGCTCTTATCTGCGGCGTCGCACCCGTCATTTGACTACCTACCCTACTCTACCTACCCTACCCTACCCTACTCTACCTACCCTACTCTACCTGCCCTACCCTGCTCTACCTACCCTACCCAACTCTACCTACCCAACTCTACCTACCCTACCTACCCTACTCTACCTACCCTACTCTACCTACCCTACTCTACCTACCCTACTCTACCTACCCTACTCTATCTACCCTACTCTATCTACCCTACTCTACCTACCCTACTCTACCTACCCCATTCTACCTACCCTACATTGCCTACTCTCTACCCTACATTATCCTATGTCCTTCTCCTGGCTCTAAACTACGTCCCTGCCAATTTTCAGCTAAATCGGTTCAGCCTTTCTTGAGTTATAAGCGGAGTAACTAACACGACTTTAAAAATTAACAACCCTACATAAAGTCAAAACAAACAAAATCTCAAGGTCAAACTAAACAGTGTCAAAATTACCTGACTGTGATTTTTACCTGAACATTCAGGCACTCGCTTCTCACCTATGTGCATAAAGAATTCAAACCTTAACTAGTATCAATGTGACTTTTCTAGAGTTAATACTTAAAACGTACTTATGAGGGGAGTAGCTTTAAGATTATAGCTACTTCTCTTATTTTCACACTCTACCCAGCGCCTATTGGGCGAAGTGTAATGTTTTTTAACCTATAACCTGCCTCGACAAACAGATTATTTAATACAATTCTTAATCCCCGAATCCTATATCTTTAAAGTCCTAATAATCCGCAAATGGCCATGAACGCACTTGTTTACTACAAGTGCGTCATCTTATAGTATTACAAGTGTCCATATGCGACTCTGAAAGCGAGCCGAAAGCGAGCCGACGTGTAACTCATCAAGTTAAACGTGGGATCGCTATCCTATAAAAAAAAGAAAAGAAAAATAATTGTGCTATTCGGACCAGCAGTTCCGGAGATTAACGCATTCAAGCAAACAAACCAACTCTTCAGCTGTATATTAATATTATAAGTAGATATTGACACTGATACATTATAGTAAAGGAAAACGGCTGAATCGCCTTGAGCAAACCCTTCAAGATCTTCTCCCTGTAAGAAGGTTCCTATAAATCCAAGCATCTTCTTGCTTCTTCGATGACCATGGTCGCATCATCCATATATCTAACTATATTTAAACTAATTTAACTATATTTGGCTCTTTTCTTTTTTAAACCTCTTTAGTTTTTTCCTCAATCCTCGATACCATCACTAAAAAACAAAGCCTTAATGAATTTAAAATACAAGATCATGCCTACTGTCCGTTTTTTTCCTTCGGCCTCTTCACCTTAGCAAGGTTATTATTGTAATTAAGAGAACTTTATTTAAATCAAATTCACATAAAACTCGTTTTACTGTGTACATAATTTAAAATTATTAAGTAACAGACCGACGTTTCCGCTTTTGTGTTTTGATGATGGGAAAGAGTGGCAAATAAATTTAGAAATCTAGACTTTGCAGGAGCAAGTAGCTTGACTAGAAGACCGAGCGACAGACTGACACACATAAACCTTCTGAAATTTATTTTCTTTGACGTTCAAAATGGCCTTTGTGGTATATTTATCTGTCTCTCTGGCTTTTCTTCTCGCCAAAACTCCTGAACCGATTTCTGTGAAATTTGGTATGTACAGATATAGTTCGGAACTCGAGAAAAGACATAGGATAGTTTTCATACCAAAAATCTACAGGGAGTCCCTATTCCATGCGAACGGAGTCGCGAGCAAAAACTAGTAACAATAATAATAGAGGACAGACCGACAGACTGATACACATTTACCTTCAGAGATTTATTTCATTGGCATTCAAAATGGCGTCTGTGATCTATTTAAAATAAATGATTTGACTTTGACTTTGAACAAGCAGATGAAATACCTGAGACCCTCGCAGAACCAGAAATGTTGGAATTGCGTTGTTGCCTTTTGAGGGTTAAGAATTGGCAGATTTTGAAATACATATATCTTTTTTGTTTACTAAAATTTGATTTAAATTATTCTAGTTTTGTTTTATGCATGTCTAAATAGTTTTTCAAGGTAAAATTGTGCGTCATTTACAATTTAATGTCTTATTATATTGAAAAAAATACAAAATACCTACATATAACCCCGAAAAAGTTACATTGGGTAGGTTTCAAATCCTGCCTGATGCATGAGAAGCGAGTTTATTTAGATACCACTGACAAATTTTGAAGTAATACACCGTAAAGAATCCTTTCTTTTAGTGGAGGAAATGTCATCAAATTACTTCTCTCGCCAAGGGAGGAAGAGGGAAAAGGGAGTGTCAGATTGTTATTGACTAAGAACCACTCCGTTCCTTCCTGGGCCGCGGTACCTTATTGAGTTTGACCCCGGCTACTTTAATGAACCCTGGACTTTATAACTATAACTTGGTAATCACCGATCCGCCTTGAACAAGCCTAGTGATGAATGCTTAGACCTTCTTCGTGTGAGAAAACCTTTGCTAAGCAGTGGGCAATTACAAAAGTGAAGGCCAAAATCATGCGCTAAGTTAACCTTCAAATGAACCTACTTTTACTCTAAACCTATTTTATTATTTATAAAAAAATTGGATTCTTTGCTGACCGAAATAGATTTATGTGCAATTAAAAACAAACCTCTGAAAAAAATCTCGGATGGCAGAAAGGGGTCCAAGTATCTCGCCGCCCAATCAGAACCAGACCCAAACGTACGGCAGTTAGGGTTCTGTGCGCGCTTCAAAGAGCGATCAGACCAACATAGATGGAGCCCAACAGGGCTGATGTTCAGCTAGGGCTGCGGGGCAAACGCAGTAATGTGTCGCTGCCTTGGCCTAGAGCAGAAGAAGGAATGGGGTGGTTTTCAGTCAGTAATAGTCTGACACTTCCTTTCACCCCATCCTCGGCGAGAGAAGTTATTCCATAATTTTAAAAATATGCTATATATGCTATCTATTCGTATCGTATTTAAATAAGCAACAATTTCTGGTCATTTGTCACAGATTTTTGGTAATTTTTAAGTTTGTTACATTAATAAAGCGACACATGAATCGATTAATAAATATTACCTGTACGATTATGGTATTTCGTAGTTTTGAGTGACAACAAAAAAAAGAATACATTTTATAGCACTTTAAAGTTTAGTGTGTTGATAAATAATAACGTTTTAAATATTTCCTTAAATTTTATGTTAATTTTAAACTGGTATAAAGTTCAAAATCTCTTTAGATACCAAACAGTAATTAATTTGAACAAGTTACTTAAGAAATAGACATATTACAAGTGGGTTAAGGTTCAAACCGGTTTATGGTATGATGGCCAAGGTTGATTTAAGGGAGGTCAAATAAAACCTCCATGTTTAGTGATGATGAAATTAATTTTTACGGTTATAAGACCAGTACACCCTATGTGGTCGACCTTGGAATCATGGTTTTTATCCTTTCTCCACACGTGCGTTAAAAGTATCGGAAAGCGTCAATCGACAGTTTTTTCTATACATTAAAATAACAAATTCAAGATGAATTCAAACACAAGTTTGAGATTGTGTTATACCTAAAGCAATATTAAAGGCTAATGTTCAATCTAGAAGAAAGTAGCTTAATTAATACTATCGAAATTATTTCAAACTTTTTATTTTGCCATCTGTTTTTAATTTGATAAACGCAAACAGATTACGTTATGGTATAGCAATCGGCGCCGCCCATAGACTCCCGTTACATTAGAAAAGTTGCAAGTGCGTTGCCGGCCTATGAAGGATTTTGAAGATTAAGGAGGGATTGGGGAGGGATTTACGTCACTGACACGGTGAAACACGCTTGTTTCGCGTCGGGTTTTTTGTAAGGTCGCGTGATATCGCGACGTTGCCAGTCGTACCAAAATATGTACACTATTGGTTTTTGGATTGGTAGATTTATTATTGAAGTTTTTTCATTAGAGAAGGGTTTCTTGTTCAGTGATAGTTAAGGCTGGTTAGATCGATGACGACGATGACGACGACGATGATGATGATGATTATGACGTTGCTGATAAATTTGGTTTTATTAATTAAACATAGAACGGTATCAAAATGCTGCTCCCTGTAAGAATTTTCTTGTGTGTCTATAGTTCCTTAACAAACATACAAAGTCACATAGGAGTACTCAGTGCCGGCGTAAGGACCACTGACACCCCGGGCAAAAATATTGTGGCGCCCACTTGAGGGAAGCAATTTCAAGTGTTACTTAGTTTTTGGCTGATCGTATTGATATCGTTAGAGTCACGCTTCGACCACAAACTCTCAAAAAACCCACAGCTCTAAAGGTTTGCACCAGGAGAGGACTCCAACTTCAGACCTTGGCCCCCCAGAATTTGACAGCCTGAGCAATCGCCCCAACACCCTCCCCCCCCTAACGCCGGTACTGGGAGTACCTATACAATACATCAACCCCAGAGTAGATTATTAATATTTTAAAATTAACTCTTTCCAGGCAAAGATTACTTGGAGAAAACGTTGATATCGTGCAAGGGCTCCGTGGAGAAGGCGAAGAAGCAAATCGACCGACTCTGCACATTTAAGACTCTGATACCTCAATTCTTTACGTGCTCCGACGCAAGGGATTTGGCCTACGTATCGGAATACGCGTAAGTTATAAACTATTTAAAATAATCAACGTGCACGTGACGGGCGGAGTTGGTGCGGGATGGTTTTTAGTCAGTAAGAGTCTGACACACCATTCTGTCCCGCTCAGGCTGGGAGAAGTCACTTCTTGTTCTAAAGATTTTGTATCCTTAGAAAACACTACTATACATACAAATTGCATACTTGACCAAACAATTTTTTATAGTATTATTGTCTAGCAAAATGTAGCGCCTTATTTTAAATTCACTGCAATGAGTGTTCATCCTGAGTATTGCAATAATTTAAACTAATATTATAAAGTTAAAGAGTTCGTTTGTTTGTTTGTTTGAACGCGTTAATCTCAGGAACCACTGGTTCAAATTGTGTATGTGTAATTTTTGTAAAACATCACGCTAAAATCTGTAGGAGCCAAAAAGCGGGTGAAACCGCGCGAGAATAGCTAATCTTTATAAATATAAAAATGGATCGCAAAATATGTTGGTAAGCGCATAACTCAACAACGCCTGGACCTATTTTGGTAATTCTTTTTTTGTCGTGTTAGTTATTGTCAGGAGAAGGAAATTCTTATCGAAGAAAATGTTAGAAAAGTAGAGGGGAATATAAGGAAAAAGTGACCCTTTGATAGCGAGATAGTTGGATTCGTGCGAAGCGGGGGCGGGCCGCTAGTTAATAATATTTTTATGGTCACCTATGTTCAGCTTGCTGTGAATGTCTTGTGATGATAAGGATTACAGGGTTCACATAGAACTTAATGGAAAATAAGGACTTACGTAAATTAACTACGAAATGATCTACAAGTTTGAAGTCACAGCGGGACTCTTATTCATGAGCAGCGCCAACAACGACAGACTTATAAATTTTCTTTTCTTATTTCAGATGGATGGTTCCATTACCGAAGTTGACGCCAGATTTCTACAGAATACTCCTCATTAAGTTTAGGTGCAAGCATCTTACCAGTGAGAATATCATGGATTATTTCCGATACAATATCATTGTAAGTTTAACCTTTTCTATACTAATATTATAAAGAGGTAAAATTGTATTGTATGTTTGTAAGTTTGTATGTAGGGGGTAATCTTTGGAACCGCTGGTCGGATTGCCAAAATTCTTTCACTGATAGATAGCTACAATATTCTTGAGTGCTATAGGCTATAGAACATCACGCTACGATTAAATGGAGCCGAGCAGCGGGTGTAACCGCGTGAGAGAAGCTAGTATTTTACATTTATAGATAATTTGAGGGTCTCTTTTAATTTTTTTATGAAAGTCGTTGCCCCACATGTTTTGTCTCATGTTTCGTGGGAGCGTTTACAAACATACTGTTTTACATACACACCACACTCAGATCTGGAACACCAATCTGTGGATCACACAAAAAATTGTGCTGAATCGAACCCTCAACATGTTGCGTGGCAGCCAGTTACCCAGTCACCGCACCAACTGTGCAGTCAAACAATAAGTTCCCGTGTCACACCTTAAGTCAACGTCAAAGTTAGAATGAGTTGTGTTTCGCAGTGTGAGTAACGTTACCGGAGACGTTTTCCTAGTTCACGTTTTTCTAACACAAGTCTGTTATAGCTCTTGTAATTCCTGTTCTGGTGTTAATAGTGTCCATGGACGATGGTGATTGCCTAACACCAGGTGATCAGTCTCCACCGTTTGTCGCCTCATCCTATAAGACATGTAGTTTCTTGCCAGAGAACAGTAGACGTTTTTATAAGTAGTGATACCACAGCCTCACAGAAAACCTCACTGAAACAACCACAGCTTTGAGTTTCGGCGTGTGACGGAGGATACCGGAGACCCAATCTTCTCCTTCTCCCGATCTCTCACCAATCCCTAAATCTCCAAAACCCTAATCCCTAAAAGGTCGGCAACGCACTCGTAACGCCTCTGTTGCAGGTGTCCTACTAAATAAAAAAAAAGTAAATATTTCTTGACATTGGGCCCTTGAGCTGGACCTCTGCGATTATCTTTAATGTGGACAGCTCGAACGCGAACGGATGCGTAGTTTTGGTACGATTAAGAAGTCTTTGTGTGTTGGCAAATTAATGTTGTTCCGGGTCTGGGTGTGATGTGTATGTGAAATTGTATGTTTGTAAACGCACCCACGACACTGGAAAAAATCTTAATGTAGGGCAAAGGTTTCTGAGAAAATCCTTAGCCTTCCTAATCCAAAACTTTTTAGTGAAAAAATATAATATTATTTATATTCTGTTTTTATTTTCAGGTGAGCGAATACATCAAGGCACACGATTATGTCAACGGCTTTATTATAATCGATGACTACAGAGATACAAATCTATTGGATGCAGTAACAAAACTGAATCCCGTAGATCTACAACATTATATGTCTATATTAATTGTAAGTATCTTTGAGTAAAAGTGTTTTTTGCTTGCCAGTTGCTTCGGGAACCATTTTACCATTTATTTTGTCAGGTTAAAATCATCAAATGACTTCTCTCGCCCAGGGTAAGGCGAGAGAGAGTGTCATACTCTTACTGACTAAAACCCTGACTAAAATTCCTTCTCATGTTCTGGGCCGAGACCGTGGTGACTCATTGCGCTTAACCCGCAACCCCGGCTGAACATCAGCCCCCTATAGGGCTCCCGTCTGTGGTGGTCTATTGGCTCTTTAAGGCGCGCGCGGAACGCTACGCGCCGTAGGCTCGGGTCTGGTTCTGATCGGGCGGCGAGCTACCCTTACTCGCCGAGTAGAAATAGTTTTCAATAAAATTAGTATGTCTATGATTTAAAAGCGCGCGTTATTTTCTGTGCTAATTAATTAGTTTAATGATACTAAAGCAATGTCATAATAGTATGATATTTCCTTGACAGAGCTGTAGAAGGCCAATTAATTGAGTATAAATTGCAACTATGCTATTGAAATAAATCATCACTATTAATTGCTATAGATAGGTATGTCTGCCATAGAAAATAACTTCGAAGAAAATAAATACTAACAATGCTTAGGTTTGATTTCCTTGATAACTAATTATAGTAGAGGTTCTAATTAGCGTCTATCATGTCTTTTTTTCATTATATAAGTATAAGTACAAGGTTTTACCCTCGCTGTTGTTCCTGCTATTTGACTACCTACACTAGTCTACCTATTTACATACTACCTATGTAAGTGGGAGTGGAACCGGCCGCCTCCCCCCCCCCCTCGCGCGTCCCGCGCCGCTCCGCGTCCCGTCATCTGATTCGGTGCGTCAACACATTGCTTACCATCAGGTTAACCGTCTGCTCGTTTTCTGACGTATACCATAAAAATACCTACATTACCTCCCCTACACTATCTACCCTACCCTACCTTCCCTCACAGACGGGGCACCAACAGGGCTGATGTTCGGCCGGGGTTGCGAGGTAAGCGCAATGAGGCAATGAGGCACCGCGACTTCGGCCCAGAGCAAGAGAAGGAACAGGGGGGTTTTAGTCAGTAAGAGTCTGACACTGGGCGGGACAAGTCATTTGATGATAATCCCCTCACAAAAAGAAACCCTACCTTCCCTACCCTATCTACTATAACTAGCCTTTTTTTTTGTCAGGGGAAAATCATCCAAGCCCTACCTACGATATCCTTTCAACCTTCTCAATGTCAGTCATTTGTTTTGTTAGCAAACGATTGAAAAGGCTATCCCTATATTTTCCAATGCTTATCTTAAATGGTCTCTCACAATAACTATCTGCTTGACAAATAGGAAACCCAACAGAAATGGAATTGACAAAATTGGTCTAGGCGCTGTCAAAGTATGCGCTTACCCATTTAGTTCATTTTTAGGGTTCCGTACCTCGAAGGGAAAAAACGGAACCCTTATAGGATCACTTTGTTGTCCGTCCGTTATATCAATTACTCAGGTCTACTGTCCCTTGAAGCTGTGAAAAAATCAAACTTCTAAGCCAACGCAATCAAAAGATACAGCCGTTTATGCCGCAAATTTTCGACACTTGCAAGGGAATCAAAACCTACAGGGTGCTTCCCGTGAACTTAGAATCTTGAAATTTGGTACAAAGCAACGTCTTATAGCATAGATAAAGGAAAAATTACGAAAACCATAAATGTTTAGTTACATCACATAATATATATTTTGTAATAATTTTAAACTTACTAGCCATTTCCTCATAAACGCGGAGAGGTATTAAATTGAAATTCATACCAAATACTCAGGTCTATAATACATCAAGCTGTAACAAAATCAAACTTCTATGTCAACGCAATCAAAAGAAACATGAACGAACTTTGTAAACCTTGCAGGTTTGTACGGAACCCTCGGTGCGCGAGTCCGACTCGCACTTGGCCGGTTTTCATAACATAAAAATTACGATTTCCCCACGTGAATTAACTAACATACAACAGACGCTGCTCATGAATAAGAGTCCCGTTGTGCCTTGAAACTAAAAAATTCATTTACTGAGTGGGTAATTCCGTAATATATAAAGTATGCAAAATTTACCCATGAGTGATTATTACACACACACACATACATTGTAATCAATTTTATTACAGGTTATCTTTAACATAATACCAGGGTAGACAATTGGGTAGTTTACTAGGTCAAAAATAAATTAATTCAACGTTTCAATACAATAAATTATTTAAAAATAACTATACTTTTATTCATCTATCGATCGATAGCCAAATTTAAGATATTTATTAACTAATTTTTAAGAAATAAGTAAGCTATTTGACGCTGAAATACTATGACATAAATCAGTTTTTCGAAAAATTTTCATAGAAAAGTATCGTTTTTGACATTTGGATAAAAGTATTGAATTTGACTGGCTGGAAACTACCGTATTGCTACTGAACCAACAAATAGTTAAATAAAAAAATTATCAATTAATTCACTTTATTACTTTCAGGAAGGGTACGGTGCAAGAATGAAGGGCCTCCACCTACTATCAGACTCGAAAGCAGTGGAGTTAATCATAAAGCTAATGAAACAGTTTGTCAGCGATAAAATTGCTAAGAGAATGCATGTACAAAAATCTTTGTCGGACTTACACAAACACGTTCCTAAGAACATCTTGCCAGTAGAATATGGAGGGAGTGAGAGGTCGATTGCTCAAATCCATGGTGAGAAACATTTTTAATATTAATTTATTAAAGGTCTTCCATACAGGTCGTGCCGATCCCGAGGTCTTTTGTTATTTTTTTCATTTCCAAATGAGCAGGCATTTGGCCGCTATCTCATTTGGTGGTACACGATGATTTGACCTACAATGGACCTAGCCATGACCAACCTGGTTGCAGGACAAGCGCAATGAGGCACCGCAGCCTCGGCCCACAGCAATAGGACGAACGGGGGGGTTTTTAGTCAGTAAGAGTCTGACACTCCCTCCCGCCCGATCCTGGACGGGAGAAGTCATTTGATGACTTTCCCCTCACCAAAAAACCCCATAAGCAACCTATTTACTCAGGCCTTGAAGATACCTAGGTTATACCTACCTTTCGGTGAATACAGACATCGTCAAAGAATTCCACTCCTTAGCGGTTCTGATTATAAAACTGGACGCGTTCGCAGTTCTATCTTTCGTGTAGGTGGGATTTCCACCATAAAGTGATGAAGTTTTGCGGATCTGGTGGCAAGATGGCAGAAAGCATTAAAATATCATCCATGAGTGTGAAACCAAAAAATTACCAATGTGACTTTTTCTAAGTACATTTAGATAACACTAACTTGGTGAAGGAAAACATCTTGAGGAAACCTGAACTATTAATTTTTAATTATACGTTATAAGCCACCTTGAGCAAGCATGGTGGTTAATGTTCAAACCTTTTCCGCATAAGAGGCTTTGCTCAGCAGTGCGGGAAGTATAGGCTGATATGACACGGACCAACTTCTCCAATGCCAATCATGTTTTCAATTACATGTCCTATGAAATAAACCTATCCCTTAACATTGAGTGCATTTTTTTATCGTGGCTTACGAGCTTCCTGATCTCCTGATGGTAAGCAATTTGCACTGCCCAAGGAGACCCGCAATGCCACAGTAGTTACAGGCACATAGCCGGAATTTTGGGGATTAGGGTTGAGATTCAAAGATTGGGGAGGGATGGAAAGGTTATCGGTTGGAGCTCCGATAGCCTTACCCATATACATTCACTTTCATAACAAAACGCTATAGTTGTTTACGTTGGTTTTCTGTGAGGCGTTCTAAAGCATGGCTCTCCCACAATTTTAGACACTAGATGTTATAAAAGAAATCTTTTAAAAAAGGGACCAAATCCTGTCAATCTCGTAGCACCCCTTTTCTAGGGTTGGAAATTTCATGAGGGAAATAACTTTTACTGACTTAAAACCTACTACCCGTTTCTTCTCGTGCTCCCAACCAGGCAATCATTAGGGAGCCAAAAAAGGATTTCTTGTTAATGGCTACAAGATAGTTAACTGCCAAAAGTATCGGTCTAAATGGTGTTCTTTTCTTAATTACAGATGAATTAGTAGAAGCAATAACATCGAAAAAACACATTGAATACATGGAAATGATGAACAAGGCGTGCACGGACGAGTCCAAACGAGTGGCTGCGAAGTTCAACGAGGAATACATGGGCTTGCCTGGTTCTTTCAGAAATATGAGCGTTGACTAATCCATAAATTGTTTTTTAAGTATCGTTTAAAAACTAGATTCAATGTTTTATCGTTATATTTCTTGTATTAAACTATCGTGAGACAAATTAAATGTATTAAATTGTAAGGTGTAATTGTGTTAAATTTTTGACGAAGTAACTCGACCCAGCCAGCCTCGAAACAATCGAGGCTGGCTGGGGACCATAACTATGAGTAGCGTGCTAGACAACGGACGCAGTGAGCGTCGCGCAACCAATTTTTTAATAAGTAAAATAAAATTGTTATTTAGTTACAAAATATCAAAATGCGTTAGTCTAAGAAGTCATTATGAATAATTAATTATATTAAATGAAACTGATTCTACAGTTGGCTTAGTGGTTGAACTGTAGTGCAGCGCATCGTTGTTTCAATTCCCGATGAATGTTAAAAATGAAAGTTAACACTATGAAAATCAATCATAAATAGTTGCCCTAGCCGAGGGCCTTAACTTAGCTACCGCAGATATTAGTTCGGTTAAGTTGTAAACAGCCGTAGCGTGCCGAACTAAGAGTAGTACTTACTATGAAAAATTAAAATTACTTATTTTGTTTCCAATATTTAATTGCATTTCAATTAAAAGCGAACCCAATTTATACTTTCAACTACACAAGACTTTCTTTATCAACGTCTTTATATCATTGTCTTCAGTCTCCTAACAATGATAATACTGTGATAAACAACAATCAAACAGACGCAATTTCACATTTATATTATTAATTCGCTTCCCCTCACGGCACCATTGGGTTCCGGACCTTTGGAAGGTGTACGAAGGACCAAAACCATCACACAGAGGACCGCAGAACAATTTCAATTAAAATGTCAAGCATGTCAGCTGGCACCTATCAACTAGCCCTTTATGTGCTGTGATAGTGCACCCAAAGACATTCCCCGTTATTAGTTATTGGCCATGTGCAATCTTGTTAAGTATAAGTATTATGTTGTACAGTAAAGGGTTATGAAAAATAAATATTTTTGTTCTAATGATGCTGGTTTTAATCACTTATCGGCTTTGCTGTTTAAATTGCTATTAAACTGTCATAAAAAAACGTTCAAATACGTTTTAGGACACAGAGAAAACATTCTTCAGAAAAAGTGAATTCTCTGACTCTCAGTTAAGATCATGCCTGATGAGCTACTGCCCAACTGCTTCACTTCGAGAATTAGATTTTGTGTCGTCATCCGTTGTTTATTTCAGTCGATCTTCTACTACTACTTAAACTTTGGAATGATCTTCCGGCAGCTATATTCCCGAACTTATACGACCTTCAAACCTTCAAGAAACGAGCGTCCTCCTTTTTAAAAGGCCGGCAAAGCACCTGTGACTTGGTGTTGCAGGTGTCCATGGGCGGCGCCGATCGCTTACTATCAGGTGATCCCTCAGCTCGTTTGCCTCCTATTCCATAAAAAAACAAGTTATTTCAATGCATATTATTATGTATGTAGCGTTATTACTAGGCAGACCTACTACCTCATCCGAGGCGTTTGATGAAAATGGCAAGTTTTTATCCGACATGCAGACTAAAAGTAATGTGTCCTTTTTCAAACTGTGGATGTTTTCCGAATGATGATGATGATGATGATAAGGATATATATTATAGCAATTTTTTTCTATTCATTTTGAGAACACCTATAATAATCAGTGCTATAATAATAAAAACAATGTTATATTTTGTAAAACAATAGTTTCATAACAAAGTTGTAAATGATAATTAGGATCATGATAGATGGTAGTTATGGGTTAAAATAAGATCATACTCATAAAAATAAGAAGGTGTGTACACGTTGGCACAAACTGAAATACAAAACTCATCTTTAACCAGTTAAGTAAATAAATTAAAACTCGACCAACTTGACTGCCCGATAAGGACAAACGGCCTCGACCTCCCTGACCTAGCGTAACGTGTCCTGGAAAGGAACAACTCTTTGTATGACCCAAAATCAATTTCTGGTCTGGGTGAGATGCGCATTTTTTTATGGAATAGGAGGCAAACGAGATCCGACGAATCGAGAGAACGGATCACCTGATGTTAAGTGGTCGGCGCCGGTAAAGGTCGTGTCACGTGGGCACACAAGAAACATACATACTAATAAAAAAACATAAATATATTACAAACATAAGTACTAAATCGAATTTCTTCATTAGCTTCACTCATCTTGACAGTACGAAAAACAAATGAGAATCCCACATTTTCATTATTTGAATTTAGAATTATGTTCTAAATTCAAATAATGAAAATGTGGAAAAATTTAAACATTCAATGACACCAAAATCAGTCAGATACAAATACAAAGTATAGCCAAAGAGATTTTATTACTATACCGAACATATTTATTTCAAGTAATAACTATTTTCGAAGAAAACTGCAGACAGTTCCACTTGTGACCATCCAACCAAAATACGGTCAAGCGATTTATCAAAATATTTAATGAGCAATGACACCTTGTTTTGACCATTTTTGAACACGAATGACCTTGAACGTCTTTATAGTCAAACCACCACTTTTTCTTTTATCTTTTAAAATCTTGTTCAATCGATTTGGTTTCTGACAATTTTTTCCTTATAGCCTATTTCCAGTTAATACAGTCCCATGTACCTTCATTATATCTTCAATTCTAAAATTTACTATCACAAGTATTCACCAAATACATCTTTTTTAAATGAGGTACAATTTTTAGTTTTTGCCTTGAGTGTCTGAAATAACCATCTCTTTAAGTCCATAATTTTACTTGGTCTACTTTTTTTACTCTCTATTTTTCTTTTCTTTTTTTTTTATCTCGTGTATTATTAGTAAACACTAAACCAGCCTCTCTGAACAAACAGTCTAACAAACCAAGCAATACGATTGAAATAGTTGGATAACCGTTTCGAAATCTGTGTCGATGACTGTACGTTGCTTGTGACATAAGAAGCTGATTCGCAACTTTATATACACATACTTACCCACTGTTAAACAGTCCATCAGAAACCTTCCAAGCAAACGGTTATACATAGAAACAAAAACCCATAAAAACCAGTTCAAATAAGAATAGTATTAGATAGAAAAAAACTTTGAAAATGAGTGCTAAAATGAAGTTGTTGTATGAGAATCAGCTTCTGAAAATGCCACCAGGCACGGTTCAGAATATAAGGAAGATCCATGACCTGGATAAGCCCGAAAGATTGGATGAAGCTATCAAAATCCTGGATGACTGGATACAGAAACAGGATCATTTGGTCAAGAAAGATTTCAGTGAGTACCAATACATAAGTATTTAATTTAAAATTAAAACCTAAATTAATAACAACAAATCTTTTCAACTTTATGTTATTCAAGTTGTAAATGACTGTACCAAAATTAGGTAATATTTTAGGAGCCATTTCTGGGTCAGACAAATTATTTGTAATAGTTTTGGCTTTTGAAATGTTGGCTAGAGAAATGTGTTCAGTGTATAAGTGTGTTTTGTTTCCTATTGCATGTTGTTTACTAGAACAAGATAAGTGTTGTTGATATCAATCAGATAGCAATTTCTATTGTTTTTCCTTTAATGAGTTTAAGGGTACGTAGAGTTCAAAAGAGTCTTTTTTTACCGTGACTTGACACTACTATTTCACATCTTGGTTGCGTAAAAAAAATGGATATACAAATAACATCCAGACGCCGATTTACAGTATATGTGGGGGGATTGACGCCGTTTTCTTAGGTATTGAACCCGGGCAAACCAGGCTTCTTATTTATGAGTGTGCGTTTTGAAACATAGCGAGTTTTTTTTATGTGATAAGTCGGGCAACAGCAACAACAGAACCAACAGAACAGTTGCCGACCTTTTGGGGATTGGGGATTTGAAGATTTGGAGAATGGGGGAGGGGAAGGGTTAGGCCTCCGGTAACTACTAACACGTCTCTAACACGCCAAAACATACCACGCTGTGGTTGTTTCACGTCGGTTTTCTGTGAGGTCATGGCCGTGGTATCAATCCGGTCGAGCCGACCCATTCGTGCTGAAGCATGGCTCTCCCGCACTTAGTGTGTTTTGATTGATTTTTTATTATGTTCTTCATATTTATTAAGTTTATTAAGATAACACTTATAAACATTTTGAAAATTTTTGGGCTGCACTCACAAATTTACATGACAACAAAACCAGGAAAAGTTTGTGGTGCAACCAGCAAAACGTAATGCAGCAGCCGGTTGCCCAGCCATAGCGCTAACCATGCAGTTCTCAATTTTTAAATATTAATCTGAAACCATCAATGGGTCTTGAGTAACAGTCATGATTCATCATGTTTAAACCTTCTCCGTGTCAAACATAACATTATTAGCCTATAAAAAGCTGAGCAAAGACTTCTTACACGGAGAAGGTTTGAGCATTAATCCCCACGCTTGGTTAGGGCAGACTGGCGATTTTAAACTTACAATTATAAATTATAAGTCCAGGTTTCCTCACTATGTTTTTCCTTCACCGTATGGCAGTGGTGTCTAAATAATCTTAGATGACTTTTTCCGAGTTATATGTACTTACTACATATAACTCGGAAAAAGTCACATTAGTGCTTACCAGGTTTCGAACCAGCACCGCTGCATGAGAAGCGTGCGCCTCAACTTCCGGGCCACCACGACCGTACCGTGTGATAAGAGCTATTTGCTTAGCTGCTGTGGTCAGACGTAGGCTGATTATGACGATCTAATCCACGACACATTGAAGAGAAGCCGGTTGTTGAGATCCCTCTAATGTTTTAGAGGGCGTAATCGTCAAAATAATTCTCTCGCCCAGAGTAAGGTGAAAGGGAGTAATTGAGACTGCTTCTCGCTTTACCCAGGGCGGGAGAAGCCATAGAATGCTATCCCGATTTTTTAAAAAAAGTTTACGATATTTGCAAATAATTTTTAAGCCAATTCCCAAATATCGTGAAATATTGGTCAAAAATTGTTAAAGGGTAAAACATATTATAAAAAACTCATAAAATATGTGGGTATACTGGTTTGTCCTACTAATTGACGCTGAGATTCTACAAAAACGAAAATATGACCTTAAAATAATCTGACGTAGTTCGAAATTTGAAATCCACACTAATATTATAAATGCGTAAGTAGCTCTGTCTGTCTGTCTTTTCTTTGCGCCTAAACTACTGAACCAATTTCTGAAAAATTTGGTGCAGACATAGTTTGGAACTCGAGAAAGGACATAGGATAATTTTTATACGAAAAATCTGCAGGAAGTCACTATTCCACTCGAACGGAGTCGCAGACAAAAGCTAGCATTTTTATTAAAAAAAAAACTTGTTCGAAGGCATGACATTGTTTTTAATTTAAAAAAAAAAATTACATGACGTGTTTAGAATGGATGCGTGATCTTGATACTTATAAGGCTCGTCAAACGAGATTTTATTAAATTATTACTTTTTGATTATACATAATGTATAAATTCATATACTTTGACCTCCATTAATCTAAATGTTGTGAATAATGGTGTTCTGACCAAGTACTTTTTTCGCTTTTAAGTTATTTGTTTACCATTTCAAACAAATTTCATAGTCATCATCAGCTTATAAATGCTTACTGCTGAGCAAAGGCCTCTTCTCAAACGGAGAAGGCATTAATCACCACGCTTGCTCAATGCAGGTTGGCGATTTCAAACTTATAATTAGAAATTATAAGTCCAGGTTTCCTAACCATGTTTACCTTCACCGTATGTCAGTGGTGTCTGAATAATCATAGAAAGTACATATTATTATAACTCTGAAAAAGTCACATTGGTACTTGCCAGGTTTCGAACCCACACCCTCATGCATGAGAAGCGGGCTCCTTGACCTCCGGGCTACCACGACCCTCAGGTTCTGTTTATACTAAAAGTATAAGGATGCTTCAAAATGGGCAATATTTTTTCTGAAACATAAGTAAATATATAGTAAATATTATATATCTACTCCTGCCAGATTTCACGCAATGATCGGCTCCTATTAACCGTTTTAAAACCTAAACATAACCCTTGATAAATAACCTACTTAAAACAATAATATTTTTTCAATTCGATCCAGTAGTTCCTGTAATTAACGAGTTCAAATAAACAAACATATTTTTCAGCTTTATAATATTGTAAAAAAAGTAATAAAGATAATTATGGTTGCAAAATTGCAGTTAAATCCTAGCCATTTATCAAAATATTTAACCATGTTTGGCCAATAAATAGCTAAGCAATTAATGGCGGTCAATAGAGCATTCGTATTACAGAAAAATGTTTGATCATTTAGAAGCATTTTAATGATACACTCTGTTTGCACCATGGCCCGATAGAATGATATTTGTATTGGATTTTAGGAGTAGCGCAATATGGCACTGCGGTCTCGGCCTAGAGCAGGAGCAAAAAAGGGGGGTTTTGATATTACCCCCACAAAAAAACAATATTAGAAACGCCTAGGTTTCGCGGCCAGCAAAATAAGGTACCGTGGCTTCCGCCTGGAGCAGGAGATGGAAAGGGGTTTTTAAGTCAGTAAGAGAGTCTGATGCTCTTTCATGCCTTACCCTATGCGACAAAAATCAGAATGGCTTTCGTCTCACAAAAAAATGGAATTAGAAAAAATTCAAACAAAAAAAGAATTCTTCCATTCATCATAATCTTGTCTTTAATTTTTAAGTGACGAGTTTCCTAAACTCACATCTGCAATAAATATATTGAGTATTGAGTATGTATTTAAAGTATACAAATTATTTTTAAAAACACGTTTTTTAAAAGTACCTACAAAGAATTATAATCTTATACATATAATAATAATCCAGCACAGTTTCAAGCCGTTGTAACAAGTCCGGGGTTGACCCCCGGACTTGTTACAATGGCTTGAAACTGTGCTCAATAATGTGCCGCGGCTATGGCCTAAAGTAGGTGAAGGAACGGGATGGTTTTTAGTCAGTAAAATTCTGACACTCCCTATCTATTTTTTTTAAACTGCCCCACAATAGGATTTTCTCCTGTGTCGTGGATGCATTTACAAACAAACAATTTCACATACACATCACACCCAGACCCGGAACACACAAAGAGTTGTTCCGTGCGGGAACCGAACCCGCGACACGTTGTGCAGCAGCCAGTTACCCAGCCACCACGCCAACCGTGCAGTCATATATAGTCTCGATTTAATGAGTTTGAGCCTCAAAAAGAGTCCATTACTATAAGTGGGTGATTTCATGGCGAATATCCTGTGTGCACTTAGCATATTAATTGCGAAGATCAGATCAATTTGATCAGTATATCATCCGGTTATTAAATTGAATGCTGTAACCAATACAGGCAAGTTTTATAGAGATATAATATATATGGCTTCAATTACCATTCAACTATATCAATCTCAGAGCAATAATCTTATAAATAATTACTTAGTTAGTATTCAAGGTTAACGTGTAACTAACAATGTAACTAGAATTATATCAAGCTTACCTTTCCTTAGCCATAAACTTGGCAGCCTTGACTATGCCATAAGCAAACGCTATTATGTTAGAAATCCAAACCTCACCGAAATGTAATCGCCATCCAATCTAATATTATAAATGCGAAAGTAACTCTATCTGTCTGTCTTTTCTTCACACCTAAACTACTGAACCTATTTGTGTGAAATTTGGTACAGACATAGTCTGGAACTTGAGAAAGGACATAGGATAGTTTTTAAACCAAATATCTGAAGGAAATCACTATTCCGGACGAACAAATTCGCGGTCAAAAGCTAGTCAGAAATAAATAATTACCTAGCAAAATTCTTCTGCGATTTTGTTTGTGCTGGCAATGGCTTGTTTAATAATTTTTGAAATCAACAACTGACTTCTCTTATCGTGGATGAGGGGCGAGAAGGGAAAGGGATTGTCAGAATCTTATTGACTAAAAACCACCCGTTCTTTCTCCTTCTCCGGGAATGGATCGCGGTATATTATAGCCCTTGCATCCAAAACCACGCCTAAGTCAATGAGGGTATGAATGAAAATGTGACTTTTTCCAAGTTATATGGACTTTTTTAATGTTTTAGACACCACTAACAAACGGTGAAAGGAAAACATTGTGAGGAAACCTTGAATTATAATTTCTAATTTTAATACTTATAATCGCCAACCAACCTTGAGCAAGCGTGGCGATTAATACTCAAAAATTTTCCGTGTGAGAAGAAACCTTTGCAAGAGCAAGAGGGCCTTCGTCAGAACTCATCTTAAACGACGTATGTGAGTAGGTAGTTAGGCAAGCGAGCGTGAGCAGAGAAAACATAAGACCAC